GCGCGGGGGTGGCTCGTTCCCACCTTTCCAGAGCCAACTCAGACCTCATCGATCCGATTCGATATCGATTATGACCGAGCCGATTCGGTTTCGATATTCTAGACGCTTCGCGTAACCCCGTCGGACCATCCAGAAACCATGCCCGGACGAGTTGCCCTGATCAGGGATGTGGAGGAGCAAGCAGTGGAATAAAGGGTTGGGTAAGACGTCATACCCCTAAGAGAGGGACGATGGAGGAACCGGAGGAGCAGGAGGAGGAGGAGGAGGAGAAGGAGGAGGAGGAGGAGGAGGAGGAGTAGAAGGAGGATGAGGAGAAGGGGGAGGAGGAGGAGGAGGAGGAGGAGGAGGAGGAGGAGGAGGAGGAGGAGGAGGAGGAGGAGGAGGAGAGGAGGAGGAGGAGGGGGAGGGGGAGGAGGAGGAGGAGGAGGAGGAGGAGGAGGAGGAGGAGGAGGAGGAGGAGGAGGAGGAACAGGGCGAGCAGAAGGCCAGAAGCCTCTTGAATGCTTCTCGGAGTCTCTTCGGATTTCTTCCTAGAGCTTCTTCGAGTTCTTGGAGTGGTTTGGAGGTTTCTTGGCAGTCCCAGGTGCCTCTTCGAGCGTCTTGGGTGCCTCTGGGGAGCCTCGTGAGGCCTCTTAGGGGTCTCTTGGCAGCCTCTTGGGGATATCTTTGGGGCCTCTTGGGTGCCTCTTGGGGCCTCCTGAACACCTCTCGGGACCCTCTTGGGGCACCCCTGGGAAGTTCGGGGACAGTCTTGGGGCCATCTTGGAGGAGACCGATCAGTCCGCAGTACACTAGGGGCCACCCTCAGGAAGCCAACATGTGGCCACCAAGTTCAACGGTTTTGGCCTTCTCGTCGAGGCCTCTTGCGGCGTGTTGGGTGCCTCTGGTGGATCTCTTGGGATTTGTTGGGAGTCTCTTGGGCCTGTTGGGGGCATCTTGGGAGCGTCGTGGAGCACCCTTGGGAGCCTCGGGGGCCATCTTGGGGCTATCTTAATTATGGCCCCCCCCCCCACCAGGAGGCCAACATGTGGCAAACACCTTCGTAACATCAATGATGTTGGCCTTCTCGCCGAGGCCACTTGGGGCGTCGTGGGTGCCTCTGGGGTCCCCTTGGGGCCTCTTGGGGGTCTCGTGGAGCCTCTTGGGGGCATCTTGGGGGGCTCTTGGGTGCCTCTCGGGGCCTCGTGGGCACCTCATGTGGCCGTCTTGGGGCACCTTGGGGAGCCTTGGAGGCATGGTTGAAATCGATCAGGGGACTGGCCGTACTCAATTTGGGCCCCCTCCCGGGAGGCCAACATGCAGCCAACACCCACGTCAAATCAGTGACGTTGGCTTCCTCGCCGAGCCATCTTGGACGCTCAGAACTACCCGTGACTTCTCCCCCTCCAGACCCAGGGGAGTACCAAGATGACCGCCATCACTCTGCGCCGATGCGGCCCGATCCGACGCGCATTCCGATGCGAGCCGGCGTCCCGATCCGAAGCTGATTCATCTTGCCGTTCTTCTCCTCGTCCATCCGCCCCCCTCCCCCCTGGCCCTCGCTTCTCCACCCACCTTCTGCCCGCCGCCCCGTGTTTGCCCCTGCCCGCGCGCGTGCGGACGCACTCGCCCACCCTGCAGCCACGACCGCGAGAGGCTCACACCGATGGCTTGAAGGACGAGGGGGAGGAGGAGGAGGACCAGCGTAAACCCAACCAACGAACCCCCCTAACCCAAAGCATCCATCCAAAATCCCTCTTCATATGCCCCTACCAAAACGGTTCATTTACACTGAGGGAACTGCCTCGTTGGAAGACAACCGTTAGAAGATCCTGAAGCATGCAAACATTGGCCTCGGAATTCCAACGCCTCGGATCAACCTGACTGTTGCGTCTCTACGGCCCTGAATCGTGCCAGGACGCCGTTCCTGAGACTTCATCACCGCGAAGCAACGTAACTCTTGCATCCTCATCATCCAGAATTCTTCCAAAACGTCATTTCTGGTACGCTGACCATGGGAATCCGTGAAACTCTTGCCAATTTGAAGAACGAATGTGCGCGGCGCTAAGGCGAGAGCCACACTTTGAAAAGGAACCGCTCTGAATCCGTGAAGTTCTTGCAAGCTTTTACTGCGAACGTCCGCGGCGCATTTTGAAAAAGGACTGTCCTCAATCCGTGGAGCTCTTGCAAGTTTTCTAAACGACTGTACGCGGCGCTCAGGTGAGAACCACATACTGAGAACCACCCACCTTCAATCCGTGAAACCCTTGCACATGTTTAAAACGAATGTGCGTCGCGCTAAGGAGAGAGCCACATATTGAAAACGACCCGCCCTCCATTCTTGAAGCTGTTATAACATGCTTCAAGCTTCAGGGTCATACATGGTGAGGAAGTCTCAAACGAAACGCCTGGCCCGCCCTAAAAACTGCCCTCGGGGGTGCGACAGGGAGAAAGTATCTATAAGGAAAAGGAATGAGGTTGGAGGAGGGAAAGGATGATGGTGAGGAGGAGGAGGAGGGGCAGGAGGAGGGGGAGGAGGAGGAGGATGAGAAGGCGAGTTGTCAGATATTTCGTTTGCGGCCAGACTTACTCACTGATCTTAAGTCTTGGCCTGAATGATCGGGGTCGACTGCGCCACCTCCTTTCGCGTGCGCTCGGCGTTGGGATGCAACCCTCGCCGGGCGCTGATGAACTCCCTGGACTGAGGTGGCGCATTGTTTCTTGTTTCCCCTCCATTTCGGAGGCCCTTAATGGACCCTTCCTCCGCATTCAGACAAGAGGCAAGAGTGAGGGAGGGAGGACCTGGACTTCCTGCGGACTTTTTCTTTCAATCCCGGCGTTTTCCTTCGATTTCGGGGGAGCCGCTTTCGGGCCCCAGGATGCACAAGCATTGGATCCTGGACGAATAGTGCCTTTGGGGAAGTCGGGGCCGCGGGTTCAGAAAATCGTATCGTTGGACGTTTTGGGAGAGGAGGAGGAGGAGGAGGAGGAGGAGGAGGAGGAGGAGAAAGTGGAGGAGCAGGAGGAGGATGAGGATGGTGGTGGAGGAGGAGGAGGAGGACTCGGTTCGATTCGAGCGGGCTGCTCGCACAGCACACACGCAGAGAAAGGAAGAGCAATGGGAAGAAAAGGAGGATGAGTACTCTGGGAGAGGGCGATGGGAGGAGGAAGCGGAGACGTAGAGGAAGACCCCGAAATCGGATGTCGCGAAAGGTCACAACGCCCTAGAAGATCACGGCCAGGTTCGTCGTCATTTGTTGTTCGCGGCATCCAGACGTTTAGCTAGGTGGAGCAGGAGGCGGAGGAGGAGGAGGACCAGCGCAAACCCAGGACTCGTCCACGATGTTGGAATAAACCTTCCCTCCAAGCTCCCTCTTCATGGGCCCCTACAATGGTTCATGCCTACTGAGGGAAGTGCCCCGTTGGGACGCAACCGTCGGAAGATCCTGAAGCGTGCCAGAATACCATTTGCGGAACCACAACGCTTCGAATTTGCCTGATTGTTGCTTCTTGACGATCTGGAGTCGGAACACCACTCCAGGAAATTGAACACCGAGAATCAACGCAATTGTTGCGCCCTGATGATCTGGAATCGGTCTAAAACACCGTTTCTGGCACGTTATCAATGGGAACACCTGACACTCTTGCAAATATTTAAGACGAGTGTGCTCGGCGCTAAGGCGAGAGCCACATTTTGAAACTAAACCGCCCTCAATCCGCGAAGCTCTTGCAATGTTTTAAGACGAATGCGTGCGGCGCTAACGCGAGAGCCACAGTTTGAAAACTACCCGCCCTCGTTGTGCATGACGTTATTGCAAGTTGTTAAGATGAGTGTGCGCGGCGCTAGGGCGAGAGCCACATTTTGAAAACCGCTCGCCTTCCATCCGTGAAACTCTTGCAAATTTCAAGCTTTAGGATCATACATGGAGAGGAAGTCTCAGGCGAAACGCCCGGCCCGCCCTTTCGACCAGCCTCGGGGCGCGACAGGGAGGAGTTATTTATATGGAACCCGAATTGAGCCGTCTTTGGCGATTCTGAGGCCATTCTGGGCCATCTTGGGGGGCATCTCGGCCCGTCTCGGAGACATGTCTGGGCCATCTTGCGTTCTCTCGGGGTCATGGCCGCCGTCTTGGAGACCATCTTGGCCGTCTTGGAGGCCATTTGGGGGCCGTCTTAGCCGTCTTGGGACGATCTTTTGCGCACGTTGACGTTTTTGCGCGACACTCCGGGTGGTCAGCGGGTTGGGCCGAAGGCTCATTGGGATCCTTTTGAATGGACAAGCCACTACCTAAAATGTTGCACGCCGTGCACCCCTGTGTCAAGCCACAGGGGGCGGTGTATAGAAGATGCCTACGGCGAATCATCGCCGCCGCTTGCCTTTTCGAAGCGCCTATGCGGTCGAACGTTGTGGCCAGAGCTAGGCCACGCTATCGGACTGTGTGTCCCCTCAGCCGTTGTGGGAACCCTTCGGAGAATACTTTGGGGAGGAAGAGGAAGAGACAGAGGGAGGAACACTGATGAGGAGCAGGAGGCGGAAGAAGAGGAGGCCTCTTTGGGAGCTTCTTGGGTCATTCTTGGTACCTCCTGGGAGCTTCATGGGGGCCTATTGGAGGCCTCTTGGGGCTCCTGTTCGACTTGTGAGCCTTTGGGACTTCTTGGGTGTCTTTTCTGATGACCTAGGGCGTTCCTGGCACGTCTGACGCTGTCGGAATCCATCTTGGGGGCATCTCTGGGCCGTCTTTGCGCTCTCTTATGGCTCTTCAGGGCCATCTTGGAGACCGTCTTGGGCGCCTTGGAGGTTTCTTGTACCGTCTTGGACCCCCCTCCCCTCGGACCATCTTAGGGGCCTCTTGGGCCGTCATGAGCCCATCTTGGAGGTCTCTTTGGCGCTCTTGGGGCGATCTTGGTGGCCTCTTGTGCCGTCTTGGGCCGTCGGAAGGCCGAACATACGCACTTGCCGAACTCTGGCAAGCACCTACGGCAAATCACTGACCTTCCTGGAGGACCTCTTGGAGACCTCG